CGACGAGAGCAGGCCGGGGCCTGGCGGGCGGGGAAGAGAGATCCGCGGTTCTCAGTCGCGCCGCAGTGCGGACAAGGCCCAGGCCGCTGGGGCTGCGCAGTGCGGGCGGGAACCCGAGTGGGGTCGCCAGCGATGCACGGGGGCCGTGCCCGCTCTGGGGGAAATCCACCCGGATGATGGGATGGAAAGCCGTAGGCGCGCTGGGGGTCAGGGGCTGGAGCTCAGCCCGCGGGTTGGGGGCCTTTTTCCTTCATCCACCCCTTCTTCTGCCCTGGAGAGGCAGACTGTCCCTCCTGCAGAATCTTGAGTCCTTTGGCCCTCTGTGGAAGACAGTGATGCGCATCCCTCCCTCCCTCATCTGGAGGAGGGGAGATTGGAAAAGGCATGGCAGGCAGAGCATTGTCCAGCCCATTCTCAAGACTGACCCTTTGAAAAGGGTTGGCTCTAGAATCAGAACATTGAGGGACCCCGTCCTCAGCCTCTGTGTAAACTCAGGCAGGTCTTTGCCCCTCCTGGGGCCTCCTTGCCTCCTGTAGAGGTGGCTGGAAAGGAAAAAAGAACACTCATCTTTTATTAAACATCAGCAGCGTCACCGGTTCTGCAGCCCTCCCCAGGAGGTCAGCACTGTACCTGGCCCCATTTTGCAGAGGAGAAACTGAGGCTCAGACAGGCCCCGGGACTTCCCTGAGAGTACATGACCTCCAGCATCCAGGGTCCTGTGGACAGGCAACTTAGCTGCCCTGTGTGGACATCCAGCAGGTGTCCAGCCATGGCCGTGGGCAACATCAACGAGCTGCCCGAGAACATCCTGCTGGAGCTGTTCACGCACGTGCCGGCCCGCCAGCTGCTGCTGCACTGCCGCCTGGTCTGCAGCCTCTGGCGCGACCTCATCGACCTGGTGACCCTGTGGAAGCGCAAGTGCCTGCGGGAGGGCTTCATCACGGAGGACTGGGACCAGCCTGTGGCCGACTGGAAGATCTTCTACTTCCTCCGCAGCCTGCACAGGAACCTCCTGCACAACCCGTGTGCCGAAGGTGGGCGCAGAGTGGGCTGGGGGTCCCCCGACCCACACGCTGGTCATGACACCAGCGGCGTGTGCGAAGCACTTACTGAGAGCGAGGCTCACAGCTGAACCCCTTGCATCTTCACAGTTATCCTAGGAGGGGGGACTGCACCTGAGCGGCATTTCTTATTCCGCTCCTCAGATTATTGGCTGAGCCCTTTCCGCAGAATGCAGGGTTAGCCAGTTGGGACTAATTGTGCCCGGGACTCCAGACCAGGAAGTCAGGGCGTTAGTTTGTGGGTCTAACTGCCAGACTCCAGGGCCAGTCTACCTGGGACTGTCCCAGAGGGCAAAGAGGGCTTTGCTTGTGGAAGAATGGGAGATCCAGGCTTCTTTCCACGCACGTTACAAGAGGTAAAACAAGGTTCTATAGTCTTCTAGAACCTCTTCCGCATTCTCCATCATGTGGCCAAATTTTGGAGCAAAACAATGATCAGCTTTTAGACACCTCCCTCACTCTGCTTCCTTGACCGGCAGTTATATGGAATCTGACCTAGGAGCAAGATAGTTTTTATAGTTATAAAGGGTTGTTTTTAAAAAAAAAAAAAAGTAGATCAGTTATATATTTGTATATAATAGACAGCCTGCAGTTTACTAGCCCTAAAATACTTTCAGCCCTTGACATTCAACGATTGCCAGCCTTCTTTTTTCTTTAAAAAATTATCCTACAAAAGTAATATTCATTGTAGACATGAAGAAAATATAAGCAATAGGAAATATAAACTACATTTTATATAGATCTAAAATATTTCATTCAACCACCCAAAGATAATCACTGTGATATCTTTTCCTCTTTTTCATTTAATTTTAGTTCTTATACTTCCTTATTTTTTCCCACAGTATAGGATTCCTTCCCTAAGTACAATCATCACAGTTTCAAAGTAGCCACAGCCCTCCACCATCCTCCATTTCACACTCCTCTTCCCCATTCTCGGCTCTCCACTTCTGTCCTGAGTGTCAAGTGTGTCAGATCTCTTTGTTAAATATGTGTTTATTCAGAAATGGTATTGGGCTGTACAGAGTCTATCACTTTTCTCTTTTAATATATCATATTTCCATGTCATGCAGTATAGACCTAGAATATCTTTTTCTTTTAAGTGACGTGCCATTTGTGTTCAGCACGTTATAGGTTCCAAATTACATCTTCTCCCCAGCCCAACACCAAATGTCCAGTCACCATGTACCGCCAACCCACCAGTCCCTGCTACCCTTCCTTTCTGGTAACCACCAGTCTGTAGTAGAGTTAAAAGGTTTGTGGTTTTGTCTTCTTTATGTCCCATAAATGGGTGAAATTATACAGAATTTGTCTCCTTCTAACTTACTTCATTTACATAGTATCATCAAGGTCCAGTCATGTTTTCACAAATGGCAAGATGTCTTCTTTTTTATGACTGAGTAGTATTCCATTGTGTTTGTACAGTCTGTCTTTATCCATTCTTTTGTGACGGTGCATTTGGGTGTTCCCATGGCTTGGCTGTTGTCTATAGTACTGCATGGGGTGCATATATGTTTCAGGTTAGTGTTTCCATGTCCCTCAGGTAAATACCCAGAACTGGAATTGTTGGATCATATGGCAGTTCTGTTTTTAATCTTTTGAGAAACCTCTATACTGTTTTCCACGATTGCCAGCCTCTGTTCTTGATCCCACTTTACAAGAGACAAAACCAAGTCTTAGAGAGGGAAAGCAACTTGTCAAAGATTCCACAACCCAGTAATGGCAGAGCTGGGACTAGACTGTCTCCATCACAGAGGGAGCCTGGTCTTTGCCATCATCACATGTCTGGGATGCCCAATGGAAGTCACTTACACAGTGCCTAGCAAGCAGGAGTGCCCATTACCAGGTGAACACTGCTCATCTGCACTGCCCCCTAGCACAGGGCTGGAGGGCAGCTGCCGAGGTCTAGCTAGATGAGCCAGGGGTAAGGTGCACTGGGAGAAGGTGATCCCTGAGGGGCTTCCCTTTGATGTGAATTTTGGTCTCCCACCAGAGGGGTTTGAATTCTGGAGCCTGGATGTGAATGGAGGCGACGAGTGGAAGGTGGAGGATCTCTCTGGAGACCAGAGGAAGGAATTCCCCAATGAGCAGGTCAAGAAATACTTCGTGACTTCTTATTAGTAAGATCAAAGGCCAGGGGTGGGGGTGGAGGTGGGGAGGACATGGTCTCGGGTGGCGGGAAGCCCAAGCTACTTCATCGTGGGACTTCTCCTGCTCTTGGAGGGCCAGCTCCAGCCCCCCCAGTGCCCTAGTGGTGAGCCCCAGCCCCTCCCACCCCTCCACCTGCACCTGCTCCCCCAGCACCTGCCTCAAGTCCCAGGTGGTGGACCTCAAGGCCGAAGGGTATTGGGAGGAGCTGATGGACACCACACGTCCGGACATCGAAGTCAAGGACTGGTGAGTGCCTGGGGCGAGGGTCTGGGTGTGGGGCGTGCCACTCAGGCGCCCCACCCCCAGCCTGCCCCCCACCTCCAAGGCCCTCATGGGCCTTCCCTCTGCCTACAGGTTCGCAGCCAGGCCAGACTGCGGGTCCAAGTACCAGCTGTGCGTTCAGCTCCTGTCGTCAGCGCACGCGCCCCTGGGCACCTTCCAGCCAGACCCAGCAACGATCCAGAAGAAGAGCGACGCCAAGTGGAGGGAGGTACGTGGTCCGGGAAGGGGACGGGGCAACGTCCCCAAGCTGCCACGGCACACAGACAAGCCTGGGCTCCCAATCCAGCTTTGCAAACCTGCTCGCCTGGGATCCAGCTGCGCAGCCAACGAAAGATGCGGCTGAGATGGTTCTGTGAAGCCACGTTCAAGCAGTGTTGCAAAAGGTTGACTGTTACTACTTCCTAGTGTAGGTTATTGCAGTTACCTAGACCAGGGGTCAGCAAACGCTGACTTAAGAGGCCTGCTGCAAGTATTTTAGACTTTGCAGACCGTACCTGTCCGTTGGCACTGCGCTCTTCGGCTCTGCCATCCTCTCGTGAAAGCAGCTTCAGATGAGGTGTCAGTGTGGATGCTGAAAACCTCAGCTCCCAAACAAGCAAAGGGCCACGGGCCAGTTTGCCAGCATCTGACCTAGCTCAGCTATCCAGAATTTTCCACGGTGACAGAAATGGTCTGCTCTGCCCAGTACAGCTAGTCCCGTGTGACGAGTAGGACTAAGGAACTGAATTAACTGGATATAATTTTTAAAAAAAAAAATATGTATTTATGCATACAGAATTGGGGTATAGGCCAGAGGCTCAGGGGTGGTAAGAGGATTCACCAGAGACAGCGTGGGGAGCAGAACAGGCAGATTGACGAAGTACACTGCTGAGGGGAGCAGAGGGTGGGTCTGCTGTGCCCTGTGGGTCAGCTCCCGGGCTGGGATCAAACTTGTGGTGCAGTGGCTCTGGAGAGCTTCATAATGCAGTGCTTTAACCTGTCGCGTCACCAGGGAGAGCCCTATTTTATTTCTATTTAAAGATTTATTTAAGCATACAAGAGCTGGGGTACAGGCCAGAGGTGCTGGGGGGTGATAGGATTCATCAGAGACAGAGTGGGGAGCAGAACAGGCAGATCCACGAAGTACACTGCTGAGGGGAGCAGCGGCCGGGTCAGGAGAGGGCTGCCGTGCCCTGAAGGTCCCTCCCTGGCCGGGGATCAAACTTAGGTTGCAGTGGCTGCCAGTAGCTTCGGTGCCGACACTTCACCCCTTTTGCCACCAGGGAGGCCCAATTGGATGGCATTTTAACTTAATAGTCACACATGTCCAGTGAAGGCCATTTGGGATAGTACTGGGCAGTTTGCAAAGCGTTTCCTTCAGTTCCTTCAAAGGATTTGCACCATAAACCCATGGAGCGGACCCAGCAGGATTTTGTTGCAGTTTACAGAGGGGGCAAATGAGGGGCTTCAGTGGGAGAGGAGGACTAGAAGCAAATTCTGCCATCTCCTGCTCCAGCACAAAGACTTCCGCCCGTTCCTGCCCGCTCGGGGTGAGCTCCAGGACCTCACTTCCACTCTGTCCCCGCAACCTCAGGTCTCCCACACGTTCTCCAACTATCCGCCCGGCGTCCGCTACATCTGGTTTCAGCACGGCGGCGTGGACACTCACTACTGGGCCGGCTGGTACGGCCCGAGAGTCACCAACAGCAGCATCACCATCGGGCCCCCGCTGCCCTGATGCCCCCGAACCCCCAACCGTCGAACCCCTGACTGGTAAACTACTGTCAGAGTAAGGGCGGGGCTTGGGAAAAGGAGGGTGGAGGCCAGGCTCCCCAGACCTCCTAGTTCATCCTTTCCTCTCCCCTTCCTGTGGAGCCTCTCAGTCTGTACAACTCTCAAATGCTGTGGGGGGTCCAGCTCTGAACCCCAGATCTCAACCTGAATGATGGCAGGAGGCATACCTGAGCTCTCCAAGAGATGAGGCCCTGAGGTTAGGCAGGTGCAGGGTATTCCCTAGGCTCCCCCCAGCCTCCTCTGAGAGTGGGTCTCCAAGCTCAGCTGGCAACCTAGACCTGCGTCTCTACCTGCGCCTCCTGGGCCCTGGCTCTCCGTGCCCTTGTCCCAAAGCAGGGGCAGTCGGACATCTGGCAGCCCTGGGCAGCGCAGATGCTGCGAGGGAGCTGTGTAGCTCAGACAGATCTGAGAGTGGAAGGCTGGCTCTGCTGGTTGTCCTGTGCCCCTTCCACAATGCCAAGTTCTCTTGCTCTGCCCCCGTGCTCAGAGGTGGCTTAGCCCAGAGGCTCTAGTCTGTGCTGAGATGTGCTGAGGGGTCCAGAGGAAAGGTCTAGGTCTAGTACAAGACTCTCTTCACTGTCTCTGAAGTCCAGAAGCCAGATAGGAACCAGATGGAGGTGAGGCTTCCCCCAAAGACCCCTGGAATCCTGCCCCTGGTAACCCAGGGCAGGTGAGGGGCAGACTGGGGCCCTGATTCTGAGAGCTGGGACATGTGAGCCCTGGAGGAGGGCGATAGGGGATTTTCAAGGACCACCTGTCTACCTCCAGGCCTAGGCCAGGCTCCCTGTGTCTTGGAGAGCATTCCAAGCCCCCACCCCACCCTTGGAACTGCCATTCCCAGGACCTCCCCACCCTGCCCGGCCACGCTCCTGCCTCTCCCTCCTGCTGGAAGGACAGCAGTGCTCTGACCTGCCCACCCTGCATGCGGCCAAATAAAAGGTGTTCCTAGCCCAGCCTGTGCCCTGTGGTTTCTGGGAGCAAAGGCAAACTTCACGGGAGGTCCTGGCCTAGAACTACAGAAGGTGCAACTCGGGGCTCGGTGCTAGGTACAGCGAGGGGTGACACCTCGGAGACCCAGCCACTGCAGAACCTGGGCATTGGGACAGACCCCTTGCTGAGCTGCAAAATTTCACTCCAGCCCATGGCTGCCAGCTTCCACTGGAGAACTCCCACAGGGTGGGGAGCAGGGTGTCTCTGGGCACCCCTTGTATCTGTAACACGGCCAAGAGCCTGATGACTTCAGATGAAACCAAAGCAGTGGAGTGGCGCTTGGCACGCAGGGGCACTGAGTAAGTACTGTTAAATGTCAGTGCCTTCCAGAGGGCCAAGCTAGAGAGGTCCACCACTCGCTAGCTGTGTAGCAAGCTGACCAAAGGCGCCTGGAGGGCGCCGCAGCCCGGCCAGGGTGAGCGCTGGCCTGAGCCTGCCCCGCCTGCACGAGCCTCAAGGACGTGCTGGCCACATGCCCCCACCCCTCCCCACCATCCCCCACTGAGAAAGGAGCGAGTGAACTTCATCTTGACCTAAGCCGAGGAGTTTCTACCTCTGCCTGGAAGGCCTGTGGCTGTCCACTAGGCTCAAGCCCCCAGGTAGGGCGGTGCCCCCGCCTCCGGGGGCCAAGGGAACCAATGCCACCTGGCGGCGCGGTGCGGACTTCGGTAACGGAGGAGCCAAGGCCCGGCCCGCCGAGCCGCCGGCCGGGGAAGACTGAAGCTCAGGAGACCAGGTGCGGGGTCCCCCCGAGCGC